TTTCTTTCTTTCTTTCTTTCTTTCTTTCTTTCTTTCTTTCTTTCTTTCTTTCTTCCTTCCTTCCTTCCTTCCTTCCTTCCTTTCTCAAATAAATCAAATCTTTAATAAAAAAAAAAAAGAAAAAGGCATAAGAGAGCTGACTGAATGAATGGTCTTAGAACTCTAAGAAACATCTAACGGGGGAAAAAAAGATGCTAAAACAGGCCCACAGAACTGAAATGGCTTATCCATGGTCATGCACCTAATTAGTTCTGACTAGATCCCCCTGGTTTCTAGGTAAAAACTTCCCAAAATGTGAGAGCTGAAACATTCTAAAAACCATTTTGCTGAGGCAGCAAATTGAAGACAGGAGAGGAAAAGTAACTAGCCCAAGGTCAAAGAGCAGCATAGCGGAACCCGAACCAGAGCCCTAATCTAAAGCTTTTCCCATATTATACAAAGCAAAGTGTGGCTTGAAATTTTAGAGTTCTTAAAGAATGGGTGGTGGAATATCAAGATTAGACGGGACTGAAACGTTTTTTTCAGCCAGCTGACGCATGACTTCACCCCTATGACGTCCCCTCAGATCCATGCTATCCTTCAACATCTTTTCCAAGGCAGCCTGTTTCTCTTTGGATGCCTGGGACTTGATGGCACATGACGAATATTCGCGAGACCCAGATTCTTCAGTGAAGATGCCCTGACTTCCGATTTTTCCTTGTAAACGGAGGACACTTAGAGCCAAATATGTTCTCTTCTGTATATTTCCCTCCCCCCATTTTCGTTGTTTGGCTCAAAACATCAGTTGCACTGGCTGGAACATTTGGTCAGTGAGGTCAAGGTCATGAGCTCCATCTTTGTGGGGGCAATTCACTGTGCCTTGATTTCTGGCTCAGACTTTGGTGATCTCGCGAAGGCCTGGGAGTAGGTCAGTGTAAAGCCATCAGCATGTCTGAAACAGTTGCTGTAAGCATAAACCCAGTGGGTAATAGACGAGAAACAGCATCCTCCCATGAAGGGAGCAACAAAGGAAAGGGAGTTCACGGCAACCACACCTGTTGCCCAATTTTAAAATATAATTCTTAAGTCAATTAACAGACAATTATTTGTTTTTATCATTTTTAAAATATTTCCTGACAGCAGGCAAAGAAGATCGAATCACTAGCGTCGTACTAAACATGGTCAAACCACTGGTTTGAAAAACTCCTGCTTCCTTACTTGGCTCTGCCCCGATCTGTGAATGAGGTTGAGTGAATCCCTTCATTCCTTCTCCTTCTCCCTCCTTCCCTTTGCCTTGCCTCCTTTCTTCTTCCAAGAATATTTACTGAGCATATACTATGTGCAAGGCATTTTTCTCAACACTGGAGATACAGTGGTGTGCCAAGTAGATAGTGTCCCCCCTGCTTACATACAGTTTGTGGAGCTTCGTTTGCATACTAAGAGTGAGTTCTACTGCTTTTTTTTCTTTTAAACATCACTAAATAAGGGATAGATGAGATCACATAATGTGTTAAAGCATTTTAAACTGAGGTGAAGAACATGCCGGTACATTTAAGGTGGACTGTCCTTCTGGTTATCCAGTGCATAGTTTCTTCTGGGGAGGCTCCTTTTTTGTTTGGGTTTTTCCTCCCTGGTTTACTAGGTTTTGGTCGCATCTGTTTACTATTTGTTTTTTAACAAAGACTCAGAGAGGGTATCATGTAGGCGCCACCAGGCTAGGTATACAGTCTCGAATGAGACACTAACAGTCACCGCCTTCATGGAGTTTACAAGAATAAATAGTATGACAGTAGACGAACTAGCCCTAATTAGCTCTGAAAAGAGGTATGTAAGGAGGGCAATTGACACTCATGAAAAAATGGGGATTAGCAGTTGCTTGCCGATTAATTTTACCTGTTCTTTCCAAGTCTTTACCCTTCTCCAAGTCCCCTAGCTGAGAAAGTGAGTAGATACATATTATCATGTCCACTGTCACTATTTCTCGTGTAATCTCACTGTAAGCATATCTTGAGAAATGATATCTCGAGATTGGGAAATCAATGCAAAACACCCACTGTCATCCTCATGTTAATATTTATCCTTTTCCATTGTACTTTCAGAAACAGACATAAACTTCCTACTCAAACAAGCACTTACAATTGTTGGAACTCTACCATTTACTTACATGTTAGAAAAGTGGAGATGGATGGTCTTTAAAGGTGAAATTCCCAAAGAGCAGTGGATGCAGAAATGGTGGGAGATGAAGTAAGTCAATGAATATACAATCAGCAAAATGTTTTGTCTCATGAGTTTGCCACTTATCTAAAGGCATTTTCCTGGCCTGAAGGCACGTGTGCGCGCACACACACGCACGCACATGCGTGCGCGTGCTCGAACACACGTGCATGCACACCCTGCCTCCTTTTTATTTTTTAAGTCTCTATTTGGATGCTTTCTCCTCAGATATCATTTCCTTGGCTCTCCCTTCCCCCAAGCAGGATCTGATGACACAACTTCTCATGGTCTATCTTCTTAAGTGCTGGGTCACCCATAAAACTGTAATATTTTAGACAAAGCACTGGAGATCCAATGCTGGCCATTTCAGATGTTTTCCTTGACTTCAAAGGACTTTCAGTCTGTGGGAGGATGTGAAAAATGAAACCATGGCAACGTGGTCTGTTGTGATGGGGGTGTATAGGGATCCACGAGCATCCAGCGCAAGATCCAAAGCCGTATCTGGTGGGTCACGTGTGGAGAGGCCTCCAGATTGAGCTCTGAGAAAGAGGTGACAGGTAACCAGGTGTTTGTAGAGGGAAACAGAGAGAATTCCAGGCTAGTGAGAGGCTGGCACTTTTGGGCAACAGACCGTGATCCCTTTCAATAGTTCTTCATGCCTGGGACACACAGGTATGAAATAAATGGGTTTGGGATGAAAGAATTACAAAAGAAGACAGGAAGGAAGGAAGAAAGGAAAGGAGGGAGGGAGGGAAGAAGAAGAGTCTTCTCCCCTCCCTCTATTAGACTCCTGTCAATTTTGCTTGTTTTTCTTATTTTCCTTTTTGTGGTGAAGATCTACCTATATAACATTTAGCCCCATGTCCATGAATTTAAGTCAGTGCCACTCTTCTGCCAAGATTCTCTGTTGACATATATTCTACTTGGGAGGAAGGAGCAGCGAAAATAACCATTTCTAGCATTTGAGTATTACTGAATTTGTCTCTAATGACCCCACAGTCAGAAAGGACAAATGTTTTAAGTTTAAATAATGCCAAATACTTGGATTCCCTAGTTTTTTTTCTGGTTGAATTCGTTTTTGATCCATTTAAAGGTTTATTTTGAAAGTTAAATGGTACCAGACCCTTAAAATAATTCGCTATGCATTAATCAGTCCATTAGTTCACCAAACATACATGGAGTCTTTGCTTAGCATCAGGCATCACGATTGACACTGCAACCATAAAGGTAACTGAGACAGCCTCGTTTCTAGGAGCTCCAGTCTCCAGGGCCAAGAAGAAGCTGTGTATGAATACTTGTAAAACAGAGAGAGAAATGCCAAAGGAGCATGGCTAGAGAAGGCTAAGGGAGCTGAAGGGGTTCACTGTGCTGGCAGGTGGGTGGGGTCAGGAGCAGGCCTCACAGAGGAGGGGGCACTCCAGCTAGCTTTGAAGAATAAGATGTCAATGTTACAAAATTCTGTCTGCCAGGAACGTGTGAAATGTGGCACCGAAGAGGGATTATTAAGATTTTCACAGTACATTTTTGGCCATGCGATGCACTTTATTAAATTAGTGTTTTGAAGATACAGCTGTTTTCCAGTGATATATTCTGGATGAATTAAAAAAGGAAGAGATAACCATATAAGGGCTCTATTCTGTAATTTTTTACACTGTTTCTATTTCACGTGACAACTAATTCCATTATAAATGCCATTGGCTGACAAAACCACGCTAACTTCATCTCACTGTACCTTCCCCTGATAAGGGCCCCATGGCTAACGTATCTGCTTTTTTTCCCCAAAGGCGAGATATAGTCGGGGTGGTGGAACCCTTGCCCCATGATGAGACATACTGTGACCCTGCTGCTCTGTTCCATGTTGCTAATGATTACTCATTCATCAGGTAACTGACAGGTTTCTTCTCACTGTTTAACTTCCAGGGTTGTGGACAGCTGTGCTAATGGCAAAGAAATAGGGATCTATGAAGTAATGACTGAAATTTCTCTTTCTACCCTCCTTCCCCCTAGAACCTCAAAACAGATCATCAGTTTTAACTCAACACGATTTATTGGGTCCAGTAAAACTTACATGAGATCTTTTCTCCACCACAAAGGAATTTTTAGTATCCCTAGGGGAAATAAAATGATCTTTGTTTGTCTTCTTGTTACTGGCAGTGTTCAGAGTGATGGTAATAGAGTATTTTTAATTGGTAGTCCAAAAACCTATGTTCTTCACCCGTTAGCCTCACATTTTGAACTTGCTGAACCTCAGTTTCTTTAGTTGGAAGATGGGAATAACATCGTGGGCCTCCCATAAGGATCACTTGGCGTTATTTATATGATGGGCCATAAATACGTAAAACACAATACAAATGTGAACTAACATTTAACAAAGTAATACCACATTTTTTTAAAATTTTTTATTTTTTCAGCGTAACAGTATTCATTATTTTTGCACCACACCCAGTGCTCCATGCAATCCGTGCCCTCTACAGTACCCACCACCTGGATCCCCCAACCTCCCACCCCCTGCCCCTTCAAAACCCTCAGATTGTTTTTCAGAGTCCATAGTCTCTCATGGTTCACCTCCCCTTCCAATTTCCCTCAACGCCCTTCTCCTCTCCATCTCCCCTTGTCCTCCATGCTATTTGTTATGCTCCACAAATCAGTGAAACCATATAATTGACTCTCTCTGCTTGACTTATTTCACTCAGCATAATCTCTTCCAGTCCTGTCCATGTTGCTACAAAAGTTGGGTATTCATCCTTTCTGATGGAGGCATAATACTCCATAGTGAGTAATACCACCTTTTTAATCAGCTGATACATAAATACAAGTAGGCTATGATGTGTCTGCAGGATTCATTTTTGGGTCTTTCTGGAGAAAGAGGTTGGATTAATATCTCTTTGGGACTAGAGCCTTAGAATTTAAACTTACGCCCCAGTCTATGAGTCTAGAACAGTGACTAAACACGGCACTGCTCTCTTGTTCATCTGCTTTACAGATATTACACAAGGACCATTTACCAATTCCAGTTTCAAGAAGCCCTTTGTCAAATAGCTAAACATGAAGGTCCCCTATACAAATGTGACATCTCCAATTCCCGTGAAGCTGGGCAGAAGCTGCAGTAAGAAACACTTCAAGGGGCACCTGGGTGGCACAGTTGGTCGAGTGTCCAACTCTTGGTTTTGGTTCGGGTTGTGATCTTGTGGTGGTGGGGTCGAGCCCCACATCGGGCTCCATGTTCAGCAGAGAATCCGCTTGAAGGTTCTCTTTCCCTCTGCCTCTCTTCCCACTCGTTCTCTCTCTCTCAGTTAAATAGGTGAATCTTTAAAAAAAAAATATTTCAAAATATTGAACCTCTCCTGCTACCCAATATTACCAATATTTCCATGCCTAGATTTGAATTTGATTTCCTTGTTTTAAAAAGAAAAATTTTGAACTCAGAATGTCCTCATCCGCAAATTAATTGTTTATTTTATGGTCACACAGGAACCTAGACCATGCGATGGCTGGACAGTCTATCTCCTCTCCATGTCATAACTACAGGGCTCCCTCTCTAGTCATTAGAAGGAAAGAGATTGACGGATGAATACATCCATTAACCCGCCTGATTTCCTTATCATCCAGGAGCAAGCTTAGCTAAGTCAAAAAGGAGAAACCATAGATCATAGTGTAAATATGTGTACATCTGGAATTCCTCAAAAGGCCCTAAACCCACCCTCCCCTTTTTGCATGTAGCGAAATGCTGAGCCTTGGAAGATCAAAACCCTGGACCTTCGCCTTGGAACGTGTTGTAGGAGCAAAGACTATGGATGTAAGACCACTGCTCAACTACTTCGAGCCCTTGTTTACCTGGCTGAAAGAGCAAAACAGGAATTCTTTTGTGGGTTGGAACACTGACTGGAGTCCGTGTGAGTACTGAGTTGACACATTTCAAATGACTCCCTTTCTGCTTCCCATAGTCCCCTCTGGCCCATCTCATGGAGCTATGACACAGCCGAGTATGTTTTCCCTCTATGTAGACCCTGCTTCTGACTGTGCTATGGTGGCAGCTGCCATTTTATTGGGGGAGGAAACGCATTTGTTGAGCACCTACTATGTATCAGGCGTGATGAAAACTATACACACATACACACACACACACACACACATTTTCTCTCTCTCTTTCAACTCTGCTTTATCAGCCCCATATTTAAAATAAAGGAGTATAAAACTGGGCGCCTGGGTGGCTCAGTGGGTTAAGCTGCTGCCTTCGGCTCAGGTCATGATCTCAGGGTCCTGGGATCGAGTCCCGTGTCAGGCTCTCTGCTCAGCAGGGAACCTGCTTCCCTCTCTCTCTCTCTCTCTCTCTCTCTCTCTGCCTGCCTCTCCATCTACTTGTGATCTCTCTCTGTCAAATAAATAAATAAAATCTTTAAAAAAAAAAAAAAAAAGAGTATAAAACTCCCCAACCCACTGCATTCGAATCCCGCTCTTCAAAGACAAATGCTTTTTAAATCAATTTTAATGCTACTACCTCCTCTTTCTGGCAGTCACTTTCATATCTCTGAACATTATGTTTATATAATTTCTTTATTGGTCAGTTTTAGGCATGCACTCCTGCCTCCTCTTCCACTTTCCTTTCTCATCTCAATAAAGTTTTAATATTTTTATAAGAAATTATCAGTATTTGTATCATAATGCCTTATAGAGCCAAGTAATATACTGTTTTAAAGCCTTTCCTATGTGGCTCTTTGTTTGTCCTGGAGTTTCTACTGCCTTGTTTTTTTAATATCTAATTTGCTATCAATGTTGCATTTATCTTTTCCAGGTATTCCAATGTATCTATTCTTTTCTCATTTTTTCCTGAAGACTTCCCTCTTAGAGTCCTGCGTTCTTCTGTCTCAGTCTGACCACAGTTTTCATCCTGAGTCAGCCATCCTTTTGCTGGTTTCCTGGGTTGAATCCATTGCTTCCTGAATTCCAGACCTTCTTTCTTGGATTACCTCACCTCCTATTTTGCTGCAGCAGAGCCTCCAAGTGACTTTCTAAACAAGAGCATGTGGGGTAGGAGGGTTAACAGTGTCCCACGGTGGCTTTAACCCTATCTTAATTTTCATTCCCATTGTTTTCAGTCTGATCTCTTCTTCTTCTTCTTCCCAAGCTGCTCCAGGACTCTCTGGGACTTTTGGGGTCTGTACTACCTCTGCATTCACTTTAGGCTGTGGCTTCCTGGCCCTTGAGAGAGCACTTACCACCACCACCACCGCCACCGCCATTACTTCTCATTTTCCAAAACTATTTACACCTGTTAAAAAATTCCTTTACCATCACTTTGGTGGGATCTTGAGAGGGGAAGGAAGTAAAGGCACATGGTCCATCTGTCATCTGTAACCAACAGTCTCTGATTTCTCTTTAATCAGATGCTGACCAAAGTATTAAAGTGAGGATAAGCCTAAAATCAGCTCTTGGAGAAAAAGCAGTGAGTATTCTGGACAGTGTGTCTTTTTTTTTAAAGAAGTTTTTAAAAATAAGTTTTATTTATTTATTTATTTATTTGAGAGAAAGCACATGCCGGGGGACAGAGGGAGAGGGAGAAGGAGAGAAGCAGACGCTCTGCTGAGCGTGGAGTTTGCCACTGGGGCTCGATCTCATGACCCTGAGATCATGACCTGAGCCGGATGCTTAATCTACTGAGCCACCCAAGCGCCCCCATCCTTTACTACTTAATGCACTCTCTTAAGTAGTACAAATAAGCCCATTTCAGTGTGTTCTAAAAGAAGACAGGCCACATGTTTCTCTTAAAAACGACAAGCTCCAGATTCTGCCTCTTGGGATTTTTTTTTTTTTAAGTAACACATTCCTTATTGGTTTGGTGATGTCTACTTTTTCCTTGTTACTTTTAAGGTGCTATGAAAATCAATGAAAAAACATCCAATCTTAAATATCAAGTGTCCACCCTTTTTTAAAATACATTTTTTAAAAATTGTATGTATTTGAGAGAGAGCAAGAGAGCACAAGCCGGGGGAGTTGCAGAGGCAGAGGGAGAAGTGGGCTCCTCGCTGAGCAGGGAGCCCAGATGCAGGGCTCCATACCAGGACTCCAGGATCATGACCTGAGCTGAAGTCAGAAGCTTAATGGACTGAGCCCCCCAGGCGCCCCAAGTGTCCAACCTCATAATTCACTCATCACCATTACTTGTACTTAAGGAAGAGGACAAGGTTATATTTTGAGAGACTGTTTAACAAGTAGTGTAGATAGTTTTGCTTTGTTTTATTTTAGTCAGTCATCCATATCCTGGAAGCTTGTTAAAAATACAGAATCTTAGGCCCCAGCACTGGACCTGCTCAGTCCAGATCTGCGTGTTCACCAGCCCCTGGCTGGCGCGTACACACCAGACTGGGAAGCTCTGGTTTTTCAAACCTGGCTGCACCCTGGAGTCGTAGGGGATGTTGAAAAAAAAATCACAGCTCGAGTACCACTCCCAGAGATTCTGACTTCACTGTTCTGAGGTGTAGCATCGAAAGTTGGGCATCAGGAGTTTTAAAAGCTCCCCGAGCGGGTGCCTGGGTGGCTCAGTTTGTTGGGCGACTGCCTTTGGCTCAGGTCTGGAGTTGCGGGATTGAGTCCCGCATCGGGCTCCCAGCTCCATGGGGAGTCTGCTTCTCTCTCTGACCTTCTCCCCTCTCCTGCTCTCTCTCACTCTCTCACTCTCAAATAAATAAATAAATAAATAGATCTTAAAAAAAAAAAAGCTCCCCAGGTGATTCTAATTACAGCCAAACCTGAGAACTACTGAGGACTTTGCATTTGAGGATAACCGAATGTTTCACGGCAAACCAGATTCCTCACACCTGCGTGTGAGCTCCTTGCAGCGGCTGTCACTCTGCTGGACACCTGTCTTGGGCTAGCCAGGCTGAAGGGGTGGCGGCTTTGGGGAGAGGACAGGACAGAACAGCCCCAGGCAGATGGGGGGCACAGGAGGCCGTGCGGGACGAGAGGACAGCCTGGGACCATTGAATAGAGCGGCCCAGGGTGCAATAGAAAATTGTGGTTTGCAGCAGATAGAGTCCAAGGTTACATTTCGACCCCCTTCCATTTTCTGCCCAGTTAAATATTGCCTACAGCTCCACGGCAGTCACAGCATCATTTGCCTAGCTGAGTAAGACAGCTAAATGTAGATAATGCAGTAGGAGTGAAAAATGAACCTTTAAGAAAGAAATAATAAAAATGAAGGTGGAACCCTTCCCGAACTTGAAGAGTTCCGATTTCCAGTTCTCTACCATCATTGAATGTCTGTGGGATTATTTTTCTTAGCATCTTTATATTAGCTTTTCCTTGGCCTAATACATTTTAGTTCCTTTTCAGTTATATTGTTTTCTTGACGTTTGTCCCCAGGTTCTTTCTCTGCAGTGAGGGATTGGTAAATGGTCTTCAGAGGGGTTGGTGGTGAGCTGCCCTGAGGCCCCTTAGCCGAGCAAGAGGCTGCTTTGCTGAGGCCAACCCATGCTTTAGCATTCCCCCGTCCCTCGGGCATCTGGCCCAGGTCCAGCTGTTGCATGGCTAAGTCCAACCCGATCTTTGGCATCGTTTTGTGAACTTAACCTTTGCCTTTTTTTAAAATATGGAAATAATAACCAGAACATTCATAGTACCGACATTAATAACATTATTAGTACTCAAAGCAGCTTTTTTGCCAAACCTGAGTGGTGTCAAGCTGAGGTTGATGTAACACTGCTGTGAAACCTTGTCATTGTTTTTTCTAAAAGGGAAAGGAGAGACGCAAAATTTGTGGCATTCATTCTACTGCTGGCTGGTGGAGGAAAGAGCAAATGCTTTTTTTCTTTTTTAGCAAAGGTTCACAAACTATGCAAATACGCCAGCTGTGTGTTTAACACCGATAATCAAGAACAAATTACCTCGTGGACAGTTATTATTTCCTTCAGAACTCAGGTCTCTTTTTCTTTTACACTTGCGCATATCTGAGAACTTACCATAGACACAGTAAAAGCTCCGCATCTTTGTCTTCAATACGTGGACATTTGTTTTCTTTTTTAAACTTATTTTTTTCTTTCAACTATAATTAACATGCAGTGTTATATTAGCTCCAGGTGTACAATACATGGACATTTTAACCAAAACCCATGACTCACATGACTCCCATCCATAAACTTGCCCTCAGGATGTTTATTTCAGCTCCTCTCAAACTGAAAAGGATCCATGAACATGATCCTTAAAGCGCAGGTGCATTAGCACATCTGAGGGCTTGTTAGATGTGCACGTCCTCGGGTCTCATCCTAGAAACTCAAGAGGGGAGGGCCCACTATTCAGTGGTTTAACCAGCCCTCCAGGTGATGCTGGTGCCCGCACAGGGTTCTCTGGAGTATTAGAAAACGTTAAAGTAAAGTAATTCTTCTGGAATATCAGGTTTTGAATGTATCCCATGATCCCTACTGAACAGTGTTTTTCTTTTGAATTTGCAGTACGAATGGAATGACAATGAAATGTACTTCTTCCGGTCGTCTATTGCATATGCCATGAGAGAGTATTTTTCAAAAGTCAAAATCCAAAGGATCCCTTTTGTGTGAGTTACTCCAACCACTACTTCTCTTTCTGTTGGGTCTGAGGAGATATTGTGCTTAAACTCTGACGCAAGTAAAATTAAGAAAAACCCAATGACTTTGAAACTTCTCTGATATCCTGGAATTCGGGCCATTCTCTTTAGGGAGGACTGTGACTTACTCGACCTACAGATTGCAAGAGCATTGTTCTCTTTCCCCTTCTCCTCCCTCTCCTCTTTCCTTTTCCCTTTCCCTCCAACAAACGCTTCCTCCACCATCAGCACTGAGAGCAAAAGGCAGACATCTCTGCCTTCATCGAACTTGTGTTCTAATGTATGTTTCATGCGTGCGTTACAATCAGCAAAATATGTTAAGTGAAATATAGCACAATGAGACGGTGACAAGTTCAAGGGAGGAAAGAACCGCAGATGGGGGACGGGGGAGGGTGGGCTTGGGAGTGCTGGTGTGTCTAGAGCTCAGCCTTAGCTGCAATGGTCAGAGGAGGCCTCACGAATCCTTGCACAAACATCTGAAGCAAGGAGAGCACCAGCAAAGTAGCCAACGGGGACGGTAGGTAGCAGGTGGAAAGATCCTAATGAATGAATGTCCTACACCTGTTGAAGGAACAACAAGGAGGCCAGCGAGGCTGGAGCAGTGAGCTCACAGAAGACAAGTGGGAGGTGTGGTCAGGGCAGCAGTGGGGTGTGGGGGTGGGAAGAGGAGAAGAACTTTCACGTGGGCCTTGCAAACGATTCCAAGGACATTTGCTTTCTTCTGAGTGAGAAGGGCTGGGAGTGCCAGGATCGGCCTTACGTTTTGTCAGGATCCCTGTGGCAGCTGGGAGAGTCCAGTCTTGTCACACTGTCGGTAAAGCCCACTCCTCCCCCCCCGCCACCGCCCCGGCTGTGGGTGTAATGGGAGGGGGGGTTTGCAGCGTGGAGGAGGGGTGGGGGAGCCGAACTCACTGCCTCTGTTCGCGGTACTGAGCCCTTGCTGCTCGCCACGGTATGTATCACAATCCTGGGGCACCCGTGGTTCTTTGCCAGTTCTCCAACGGCTTTCAATTTGAAATTTTTGTATCATTGAAGGAAAATGGGGTCCATCTAGGGGGCTGAACAGATAGTACCAATAGTGTGTTATCCCAACATATGTCCTTAAGTTCATGTGCTTTGGGAAGTGTTAAGAATGTAGGGACAATCACATCCTTCCGTGGTTTGCCCCATTCCGTGTCTCTCGCCTTTACCCTGTGACTCTCCCCCCAACCTCCTTTTCACTGGCAGGGGGAGCCCCCATTCTCTTTGCTGTGTCCTCCATGCCACAAGGAAAGATGTTTCTTTTGCTTCTCTGCAGGGACGAAGACGTGAGGGTGAGCAATTTGAAACCCAGAATCTCCTTCAACTTCGTTGTCACTTCACCTGGAAATATGTCTGACATCATTCCCAGAGCTGACGTTGAAGAAGCTATCAGGTGATTTTACTTTCAGACAAGCTCTCGGGGGGCGGGGGGTACTGAATGCAACCCCAACAAGCACTCGTGGTTTAGTATGCTGTGTGTGCCGGGCACCGTTCTGAGTTCTTTTCAGCGTAAAGACTGGGGTTTTAATTCCAGAAGGATCTCGTAGCAAGGGACTTGCCTTGATTTGGGCTCTTCCGTACCGCAGGCCCTTAAAGGGTATTTGTAGTTGATTTGGGAGACGATCTCAAGAAGCTTTGAGGAAGAAAAGTGCACAGGGGCGGAGCGTGGATGGAAGATAATAAATGACATGTTATCGAGCAAGGGACCACGGTGGGCAACTAGAGCTCCACCGTGCCGGGGAATTCTGGGAGACTGAGCAGATCATTCACCTGAATGGTCCCATCATCCCGGGGGGGCACTTATCCACTGCCTCCCACCAGTCATTGGTTGAGAACTGCTTGCCGGTGGCGTGACTTCCCCGGCATTTGTGACCTGTAGGCTGGGCAGCCCCTCGTGGCCCCAGAACGCTCTCGGGTAAAGGCAGCAGGTACTGACTGGCTGGAGGGAGTCTGGCTTGCACACCTGGAGAATGGTAGATGGAGAAGGGACGTGGACACATGTCGCCAGCATTTGCTGTAGGGACTTGGATGAAGGAATCATTTCAGTAACTGGAGTCAGAAGCGGGGTGGGCAAGAATAGGATCCCTTAGGTGTTGCTTGGCCTTCACACTAGGAGAGGGACTCGCTCTGGGCGGCGAGCATCTCGAAGCAATGATTGGCCCAAGGTTTCCCCAAACAGCAAGAGTGAAGAAAAGACAGAGGCAGGTGTTTGCCCTTGTCACTAAAAAAGGCTTAAGATACCTGCTGCTATGAGGGAGCCCACTAGGTGGCCCTCTTGAGCTGCTGTTCGTCTCTGGAAGCACATCCAGGACCTGCCAGGCAGGGCGAGCCTGGAAAGTCTGGCTTAGTTGGGGTGTGCAACCCACTTACAACCAGAGACCTCACCGCTGGCCCCCAAAGGGCTTGTTTCTGCCTTGGGGAAAAGCGCCAGCTGAGATCATCACGAAAGAGCCCAGGCCTGCTTGCGAGCAGCAGGGGATGGCAAATCCCCTGTTTCCGGAATGACTTGAGACACTTTCAGGCTGAGGTTACGTGGTGAATTCTGCTCTGACGGATCTCCGTCTCGTCCTGACGTGCACTACAGCCCAGGATAGGAGGATGGGCTGCAAAGCACCGGGGTTTTCAAGTCAGAATATTCTCAATGTTCCTAGTTTGCGTTTTCAAAATCACATCCGTCCTTTTTTGCTCTCTAAAATTTAGCCCTTTCCCATCCCAGTGCTGGAGAAATTGGCGAGGGTCCCTTTCTGTGGTCGTCCCCTGTCTCCAAAGGTCAATACCTTTTCTTTGGAAACTACAACCGTCAGGACTTGGGTATAGGACCCAGTCGATTTGTAGAAGAGATGTACCCAACTGCCCTTTCCTGTTATCTGATATAAAGTCGTTGTAGACCTACTCCGACAGAAGGGAGATTCTTGCCAAATACGCTAACTTTGCCTTTACAACACAGCACTCACGAACCAACAAACTCCAACTCCAGTTTCCACACTTGCAACCCAATTTTCCCAGGAAGCCGTTGCCAGACGCAATCTAGGCTGCAAGATACAAAAGGGGCCGAATTGTCAAATCTTGAATCTTTCGTGGGACCTGGTTATCGACTTTGACTATGATTTCATTGCTATTTGAGGTGTGCCGTCTTAAGCTAAACCTTATCAAATCCCTTCAGGAGCAATGGCATAGGAAGTAAATAATTACGCACAATTCTGTTTTGCCTGAGTGTCTTGCTTTTGGGAATAGGCAGTCCCGGGGCCGTATCAATGATGCTTTCCACCTGGATGACAACAGCCTGGAGTTTCTGGGGATCCAGCCAACACTGGAACCCCCTTACCAGCCACCTGTCACCATATGGCTGATCGTGTTTGGGGTCGTGATGGGAGTGGTGCTGGTTGGCATTTTCCTGCTCATCTTCTCTGGGATCAGAAATCGAAGGAAGTAAGTGCCCTTTCCTAGACTTACCTATCTTAAAACAGAAAGGTTTAGGGAAAACTAGCTGGAAATTTTGCAGCAAGTGGTAGGTATATAAGCCAATTCCTTTTGGGGACCGTTTTGCACCTAAATATTCTGATGTATTCCCTAGACATTTCCCAGATTTCGTCAGCACTTTGCGTTCCTAGCAGGCGCCGGAGTACAGTGTTCAGCCTGGGCTTCTGAGCATGACGGGATGAACTCCATCCTGGCCACAGTGTCCTCTCCCTACTACTGAGACGCCCCGCAAACTCGGGGACGGGTGGGGGGCAGGCAGGCTCAGGGAGTTCTCTTTACTCCTAGTCTTCCTTGGTCTAGAAGTGACCCCAGAGACTGACTCAGTGATGGTTGGCACTGTAAAATCCTTCTAGAAGGAGCTCTGCGATTTGCTTCAAACTTCTACCCTTCCATCATCTTCATTCCCCCTCAGGTGGCCCAGGCTCCCTGTCATCCCCTTAGGTCATGGGTCACGATGCTCTGTCATTTGTTCTTGAGTGGAAGATCCAAGTTCGGTGAGGATTTAAATCACCAGAGACCTGATTAATAATCTTGTTCCACCACTAGATGGTTTTTCGGATCTTGAGAGATCACTGGCTTCCATGGGCCTATGTAATTGAGGTTAATACTATTTTATAGCTCCTAACAAAACTCAGCACACTGCAGGTTGCTTAAACGTGTTCATGATGGAATTTTGACATGCTCTTGTCTATTTTGCTCAATTCTTCACTATAGAGATTTATAGTTCCCTAAAATAACTTCAGTTAAGAAAATTAGGCATTTAATAGAATACATTCATATGGTTAGAATTTTAAAACTATGAAAGGATACCCCAAAATCTTCCTGCCCCCCTTTGCCTCCAAGTTCCCTTCCCAAAGCCAAGGACAATTATCAGTTTCTCAGAGACCCTTCTGTTGTTGGAGCGTCTGCATTTTCACTAAGGCCATCCCCCTGGTGATTGGTATGCACGTGACGGTTTGCGAAACATTCTTACTTTGCACACGAGCTACTATTCCAAAGTTAATTCATGAAATGAATTATTTGGGGGAACTTCCTTCATGCCACATGCTGTGTTAATAGAAGGCACACAGCAAAATCGGACCGGATACCCTGCTCGGTACTTTGATGCATTAATATTTTCGGCAAGCATAGGATGTCAATATGCAATTATCTAATTATCTTCACGTACGTATCAAGCTGAGATTCAGAGAGACCAAGTCACTCTCTCAAATCGACGTGGCTCGTCAGTAACAGACTGGGACCCACAGCCAGTTTGCAGGGCCGGTGCTTGTGCTACAAAGCTGTCCCACTCTGGTCTGGACACTTGGGAAGCTGACTGTGTAGCAGGGAGGCACTTTCAAAGGAGGCACTTGGCTTAACGACCACTTGGTTTCTAAAAGGAATCATCCAGTGTGACGCCTGGGTGGCTCAGTTGTTAAGTGTCTGCCTTCGGCTCAGGGCATGATCTCCAGGTCCTGGGATGGAGCCCCAGGTCGGGATCCCTGCTCAGCGGCGAGTCTACTTCTCCCTCTGCCTCTGCCTCTCCCCCTGCTTGTGCTTTCTCTGTCCGACTCTGTATTTCTCTCAAATGAATAAATTTTTAAAGAATCTTAAAAAAAAAAATGAAAAGAATTCTCCAAGCTGCTATTTGCGGAGGCTGCCCACCCGTACAGTGAGGGCTCTGCCAGCACCATTTTCGGGACTTTGGCAGAACCGCCATCGTTTTCCAGACAGACAGACTGAGGTACCGAGGCGCACCCTCTCTGACCCCAGAACACGCACCCTAAGCAGTCTCCCATGCCCTGCCAGCCATCCTGCCAACTAGTCATGGGGCAAAAGGAGTGAATCCTGCTCTCTCGGGGTTCCCAGTCCGCCGGGAGGGGATGGTTCGCCAGCGAGCGATTCGGTGCTGAGGGGTCAGAGACACCCAGGCCAGTGGGGTCCAAGGGAGGCCGTGTCCCTCCGGCAGCGCTGCACTAAAGGTGACTTCACTTTATTCAACAGGAACAATCAAGCCAGAAGTGAAGAAAATCCTTACGCCTCTGCGGACTTGAGTAAAGGAGAAAATAATCCGGGATTCCAAAATGTTGATGATGTTCAGACGTCATTTTAGGAAAATCTGTTTGATTTCCTCTTGAGGTGATTTTCTTGCATGCAACTGTTAATTTTATGGTACAGACAATAGGAGATTATAAAGCTGTCATTAAATATCATAACTATGGCTCTGTTCAGGAAAAGTTGTCCCAAGAATACAAGCCTGAGGAGAGGGCATCTTCACTGGCTTTCAGTATTTATTTCTGCCTCACGATTTCACTTGTGTTCATGTTTGAGAGTAATAGAGAAAATGTGTCTCTGGCCTCACCGGCTGTTCAGGGGTAATGAAAGCGGAAATGTCTGTTGCCTGGCAACAGTGGAAAAGCGAAAAGGGGGATATGTGGAGGGAGCAAGTGGAGCCTTGTGTGAAATCCGGATGAATCACTTTTAAGGACAGTGTCCGTGACATGGTGGAACTTCAGGGAGCGAGAGCAGCACCTGCCGTCTGCTTCGCTCTAAGCCAAGTGTAAAGGATGGCGCGCCCTTTCGCATTAAGCTAATCTATAGGGATTTGCCCACAGCGGTGATTGGACTGGGTCAGGCCTTCTTCAGGATGACAGCTCTGAAGAAGAGAGAAGAATCCGGAGAGCCGTTCACAGATGTTGCCTTTTCCCTTCCACCCGTACCTGATCACCATCTCCCTGACAACGTGAGACCAGCCCCAGGGGCCTCCCAGAACCACCTTCCGCCAGAGCACACCTGACGGAAACTCACTACTGTTCTTCGAGGAGTGACTGGAAACCTCCACTTCAGGTCCTCCTCGGAAGTGGGTTCCCAATCTCTTAAATCTTGTACTCAACCCCGATGCCCGAGTAGTGCTGAGCGCAAAGCAGACCCCCAATAAACACTACATGCACGCTGCTACGGTCTCACGTGTACGTCGGGGCTGGGGCATCGGGGCGTTCTGTCTGCTTGTCACTTCCACGGCCAAAGTTGCTGTCTGACTGCCTGGGACCCTTGACCTCTCAAATGTCGTGGAATGTGTCCCAATTTCTTAAATTGCTTTAGCGTACAAAGCAGCTGTAAGATCGGTCTAGAGAGGGCTTGTTAAGATTGTTTACACCCCGGGTGCCTGGGTGGCTCAGTGGGTTAAAGCCTCTGCCTTCGGCTCGGGTCATGGTCCCAGGGTCCTGGGATCGAGCCCCGCATCGGGCTCTCTGCTCAGCGGGGAGCCTGCTTCTCCCTCTCTCTCTGCCTGCCTCTCTGCCTACTTGTGATCCCTGTCTGTCAAATAAATAAATAAAAATGTTTAAAAAAAAAAAAAGATTGTTTACACCGCCAGGTTAGGAACCAAGTCTGACGCTCCTTTCGTAGATCTCAAAATCCAGCCTGGCTCTGAACACAGCATCACTACATACCTGAGGACTGATTCAAAATTGAGGAAAACATCCCAGCTTTACCCAGCGACTCACTCTCTGTGGTGACCAGCATAATGTTAGAGTAACTTTGTACTTAATACATTCTGCGGAGACGGGCGACCAGGTGGTTCAGTCAGTTAAACATACGACTCTTCATTTTGGCTCAGGTCATGATCTCAGGGGTATGGGATCGAGCCCGGTGTCGGGCTCCATGCTCAGTGGGGAGTCTGCTTGAGATCCTCTCTCCCTCTCCCTTTGCCCCTCCCCCTTACGTGTGCGCACGCTCTCTCTCAGATAAATAAATCTTTAAAAAAAATGAAATTCTATAGAGGGGTCATGGTGAATCAGCTAAGGGGAGGATGACCTTTTCTTCACTTCCAAGAGCGTGTAGACAGTCCCCTGGCTTAAAACAGTAACAGTAAATGCTAGATATCACCACTACACATGGTTAAATAGCATTTTCAAAATCATGCATGTTTTACATGATAGGACTGTTGTTCCTTTGCTTGGCTCCTCCTAGCATCACTGGGCTGCTTTTCTCATAAACGTCTACTGGTACCTTAAAATCTTCATTGACATGGTTTTGGGAGCCAGGCTTCCAAGCACGGCTCCAGCTCTTGCCACAGCAGACGATTCTGTACTGTTTTAATGTTTGCAATAAGCCTATATTACTTTTGTTACAAAGAGGATGGTTTTTAAAAAAACAAAATACATAAAAATAAGCAGGAGAACAGAAAATAAACTTCATGAGGACCTGTCGGGGAGGAGGCATTGTGTTACATGTTCCTTCTTTTCCCTCGGTGGGAAAGAACCTGTCCCACGTACTGGCCCAAGGAATGCTCACTGAATGTATTCACCGCCTAGTGATGATTTTTAAAGTTCCGTTTCACTGTAAGTTGAAATTTGTGCACCTCTGTAAAAAAATAGAAAACTATCAAAAGTCAGTTCTTCTGACAATACAGGAATCCGCATTTACATGTTAAGAACAACCAGGAGAGATCGTTGGAAATAGCCGGGAGGGGATGGAGCTGGTGAGATGAGATGGAATATGAGGGTCTCTTCATGGAGGTGGTTCACTTCCATCCGGAGACAAGGAGCGGCACTTAGAGCATCTTTTCAGTGCAATTGTGCCTCCACATAGCCTTTCTCTTTCCCTCCTTGATGTTACAGGAGAGACCGTGAAGTGCTTCAAAAGAGATAAAAACCTAGGGGTTCAGAAGCAGGCGGTGGAGGAGGAGAGTCCCGGGAATAGTTTTAAAGCAGAAGTACCTTTTGGTATTCGCAGCGAGAAACTGAAATACTACTTCTTTTTTTTTAATATTTATTTATTTGACAGAGAGAGATTGCAAGTAGGCAGAGAGGCAGGCAGAGAGAGAGGGGGAAGCAAGCTCCCCGCTCAGCAGAAAGCCTGATGTGGGGCTCGATCCCAGGACCCTGGGAACATGACCCAAGCCAAAGGCAGAGGCTTAACCACTGAGCCACGCAGGCGCCCCTGAAACAGTACTTCTCTCCCTTTGTGTCAAGATAGAAGCCTGAAACAGAAATGTCAGTCACCAAACTAGCCAGATGCCCCCGGACTCCAAACCTAAGGATAGAAAATGATTAGAAGGCAACAATCAATTCTAGAAATAAGACTGTGGTTACACTGTATCCAAGTTGATAAGGATTAAGGTTTAAAAAAAAGGCTTCAAGTTTACCTTAGCATCTTTAAAAATTTGCTCTACATGGAAATATATTTAGTATCTTCTTGAATGATATTATTTAATTTTAGTTTTATATTTGCATGGCATACATACATGACCCAAAGGGTCACTGTTCGAATCTGGAAGTCAGATGAGAGTTGAGTCATTTGGATTGAATATGGACCACCTAATGAGGCCCCACTGTATAAGGAGGTCCCCTAGGGCAGAGCTGACTGCTCAGGAACATCTGGAAACTTCTTAAGGTAAAAAATTCTCAGGCTGCACTCAGACTTGCTCTACCTTAGTTCCTAAGGAATCTGTGTGTGTGTGTGTGTGTGTGTGTGTGTGTGTGTGTGTGTGTTTGTGTTTAGGGATTTTATTAGAGAGAGAGTGCACATGAGCAAGGGGAGTGGCAGAGGGAGAGCGAGAAGCAGGCTTTCCACTGAGCAGGGAGCCCGACTTGGGACTCAATCCCAGGACCCTGAGATCATGACCTGAGCCAAAGGCAGATGCTTAACCAACTGAGCCACCCAGGTGCCCCAGGAGTTTATTTTAATGAACTCTCCTTTTGATTTGCATACACATTAAAGTTTGACAGTATTGAAACATGAAGGCAAATGTCCACATTTTGGTATTTGTTAATATCATATTTAATTATCAGGATAGTGACTATATAAGGAAAAGAACAAATATCCAACAGAGAATATTTCAATTCTATCTGATCTTTACACATGGTACACACTCTGTCTACCACAATCAGAAAATATGCTTCTGCTATAGGCTGGGAAGTATAATAATATTAAAAGTAGCATACACAGAATTACTAATTTGACCTAAATTTCAAGGAAATCTTTTGTTTCTTACCTTGTTCATTTTGAGATACTACAACAGGCAAACAGCACACAGAATGCTATTAAGAAGAACTAGCTAAATTACATTGTCTGCACCTTGCTACTTTCCTTAAAAGTAATGAAAATGTTGGCCAGCGTTCACATGAGCTCTCATCAGATCTCCTAATTTCTTCTTCATGGCTTGTCTTTTTCCCGAAGTGGTTCAATGGAAGCTAGGAGTTGCTGAAATGTGGGACGCTTTTCTGGAAGCTAAATAAAAGAAATACCCAATGGTTTAGTTTAGGAAAGGATTAAAAATAAAATATAGAAGATATGTATACCTCAATCCTAAAGCTAGTGACTTTTTAAGTGTGGAAACACTATGGACATTTCCACTAAAGACAAAACAACTAGAGCCCTAAGAATTGGAAAAGGAACAGTAAAAGTATCTTTGTTTGATGTGGTTTTATGCCTGGAGAAACCAAGAGAATGAATGATAGTATCAACCCAAATGATAAGGAATTCAGCAGAGCAGTATGCAAAATTAACATATAAAATCAATAACCTTCAGGTACATGTACAAGAACCAATCAGAAGACACAATGGAAGAGAAAATTCCATTTAGAATAGCAATGATGTCAAAATAAAATACAAACAAAAATGTAACCCCCCAAATGAGGACAACTTTAAACACTGCTGAAAAATACAAATGTAGAAAAACATAGAAAAACGTTGTTTGTTCTTGAAGAGGACAAATCAATATCACGAAGATGTCAAATTTCCCTAGTTAAAATATAAATACAGCCTCCCCCACAAGATGAACAAGTTTGTTTCAAGCTGGACAAATTGATACTCTAGTTCACAGGTTTTTAAAGTATGCAGAAATAATAGCCAAAATGAATATAACTACACTGGAACTAAAATTTAAAAAAATTAAAAAATTAAACTCAATTTTAAAATATGTTTATAAAAATAGCTAGGAAAGGTATTAAGAAAGACGAGTAATGAGGGAGTGCGAGCCTACTTAGGATTGACACATATTATAAAGTCTCGGGGCTAGCTCATGAATAAAGAGCAGAGAGCAGAAGAGAGTCCCCAGGTAATTCCAAATACATATGGACATTTCCTATGTTAGATATTTTGGCACCATTAGATGGTATCTTGTCCCTGGGAATGACATGGTCTTCTAATGATGCTGCAGCAAGCATGTAGTCAATTAAAAGACGAGATCTTTGGATTCATACTTCATACCATATA